ATTAGTCAGGGTTTTTAGTTGCAAACAACAGAACCAACTTTAGCTAGTTTAAATAAAAAGGGAATGTTAGAGTAAAGAATAGTCAGTAGCTGACAGAATCCCCAGAAGGTCCAGAGAATCAGTCTGGGTGGCCAGGCAGCAAGAAGAATGCCCCATTACACTGCCAGTTGCTCCAGGGAAACCTTGTTGGCTCTACCCTCTGCCGGTGTGAACCACCTACAGAGAGCACCTTCCCCAGAATGGATTGATTCCATGCAGGGTCTCCCTCTTGCTTGGTGAAGCCCAGATCACATGTCTGAATCCAGTGACACAGAGGTTGAGAATGTGAGTTCCTGGCCTCTACCTCAGGACCTCTACCCTGGGGAAGCAGGGCTCCCAAGGTAGGAAGGGTGTTCAAAAGATGCTGGGCTGTCCCTAAGTGTGACAAATGTCCAGGAAACCATTAAAAGCCCTCATCACATTTTCCTCCATAAAGATACTTTCCAAGTGTGGACCCAATAAAATAGCTTCCAAATTTGTCTTCCAGAATCTTAAAAATAAATACTTAATCTCTCCCCACTTTGCATATCCATTCTATTTTCTCTACCTCAATTACCGTATCAGATATTTTGAGGATTGGTGCATATGTGTCACTTGTTTCTTTCCTTCGCATTGTAGTGTCTGTCCAGCTACGAGACCCATTGCTTTGTCATCTCAGCTCCTACAACTTTATTTATCCCACAGGAGCATTTACAAAACAACAAAAAAAGTTTTAAAATTATGGGTAAGATACATGTTATCTTATGGGTAACATATATCTTCCCTATAATTTTTAAAAGATAAGCAAAGAAACTACAGTGCCCTTTGGTTCAAAGACATAATCCTGACAATAGTGTGCCATGTGGTTTTGGCAGGAAGCGTGGGGAGTAATCTGAAGTGTTGTACCAATTTGCTCTACAGTTACTTAGGAACAAGAGCTCCATAGACCATACAGCTGCTTAAGCTCACAGGGCTCCAAGCAGATGGGTCAAACAATATAACAGAAATGTACAGGATAGTGTCACAGGATAGTCTTTTCAAACATAACCTGAACCACTAAAGGAAGAGAAACATTAGTGTACTGGGAACAATGAATTGGTTCCTGTGTTACTGTTCCTGTCTTTGGTGCTGTAACACAACTTGTGGCCTTCCAACAGCGACGAACCATGGGATATGCAGGGGAATAAATATTGCAGTTTACATCTTAAAATGATCCTAAATTTCCTGAACTTATCAGTTCCATTTAATGATGCAAATAAATTTTGAGCATATTATTCTAGAGATGATACTAGCATCTTCCTTCAGCTCTCAAATACCCTATTATCCCCAAAACAGTGATCCAGGCAATAAGTGCTGTAGTGTCAGAATATTAAATTCACTGACTCAGAGTGAATTGCTCTAATATTCATTTTTACTATGAATGAAAAAATCCATGTGCACTGCTATCAAATCCATATAGGGACTTAGAAACTATTATTTTTTAAGTACACTGGGTTTATTTCTTTTTTTATATGAACTCTCTCTACCTGAAAAACAGGAATTCAGGAATGCATCTACAATTTGTTCATGATAAAATCATTAAGAGATAAGATTTGAAAGGGATGAAAACCATGGATGATGATAGATTATCCATTCATCAATTTATGCTTGAAGGGGCTATATAAGTTTGTTGTCTTTAATGATAAAATGAGATAAATTCTTAATTGTACATAATGTAGTAGCTGGTTTATGCATCTGGAATGGAGTGCAGAGGTGCAAACGTACCTTATCTGTCCTATGTCTGAAATGACATCTAGAACATGAAGTCAATCTGCTTTGGTTGCCTCCTAGTGGAACATCTTGCTGCTGGAGTGACTGGCACACTGGGAGTTTTGGACTGAATAGTTTGAATCTTAAGTATGCTCTAGATATAAATCTACTATACCTCCAAAGGTCTATATTTATTTTAGACCAAGGAGTATAAATACAATAATACTCTAAGACTCCATAAAGTAGGACCAAGTTCAACACTGACACAATCTTATTCTGTTGAAAATACTTTTTCATATCCCTTTAAATATTCATATAGGACCTACTATTTTTCCAGTGACTAAAAATGTTGGAATCTGGCTATAAATGTGAATGAATATGTGCCACTGGCATTGCCCTACATGAAGGTGACAACCAACACAAGTGAAACAATGTAAAGTCTTCTAGAATTCCCACCCTGTCATTGACAACAGGTGCCCTTAGAGCGGCCCAATCAAGAAGGCCTCACACCTGAGTAGCTAGCTGAGATGGTGGCATCAGCACAAGGAGCACCCTGGCACAGTCACAAAGAGTCTAGAATCCTTGGAAATCACCTGGCCAAACTGTTTCAAATAATAGATTGGGAACTGAGGCTCAACAAAGTAAATTGGTTTGCTCAAGATCATTGTCAGAGGTAAGACTCAGGCCTAGAAGCCACAGTCTGCCTTCTGGGCCAAACCAATGCTCTTTCCCCAAACATGCATTATCCCTGTCACAAGACTAGGCTGCATAGCATGCAGTGCCAATTCAGGAAAACATATTCTGACTATGTGACTCAATAAGCAATTATTCTATGACTCTGATTAATGGGGAAAGGTAATTTTGGTTATTTCAGATCCCAAACTTAGATTTTGGGAAGTTAATGTTTTATTAGTGTGTTGTTGTTTTTAATGGAACTATGAACAAAATTTGTTTCATTGTGTATTTTCCATTGTCCATGTAAGGCTGCTTAAATTAAGATTTCATTGATAAGGATTAGAATCTTTAAAGCCTAAATTAGGTATCTGGGGGGTTTTTTGTGGGTGTTATTTTCCAGTTCTATCATATCAACTGACTGCTCTCAAATATGTTCATAGAACTTCAGGTTTACCGGGGAGCTGGCTTAGTCAAAAGAAAGTGACTTTCCCTTTGTTACACATCCTAAAGTTGTGGGATGTATTGTACCTGGTACAGAAAGGAAGTGCATTGTGGAAAGATTGTGACTTTGAAGTAGAACAGATCCCAGTTTAAATTTAGACCTACCTTTATAAATAGCCACTTAGCTTTACAGCCATTTAACCATTTAGAGGCCCAATTTCTTAGTTTCCTATCTGTAAAGCAGTACAGTAACTTGCTAACATGGTCACTAAAAGGAAGGAATGTAGTAATATGCCTAACTCACCTGGCACACCTGGAAAAGTAACAGTAAGACATGTAACCCTGGATTGCAAAAAAACAAAACAAAAAATAACCCTTAGCCTTTCAAATTGCTTTGGGATAGCTCCTTGAGGATAAAGATATTTATAGATATATGCTGAGATGTGCTCTCTGTGAAATATTGTTAACTTAGATTATGGAACTCTGAGATGGAGTCCAGGGTTGAAGTTCAGGTCCAGTTCCCTCATAGCAGTGTGGCTTGGATAAGGTACTCAACCTCCCTGAGCCTGTTTCCTCACCTGAAAGACCAGCCAAGGCCCCAAATCTCTCTCCTTACACACAGTAAAGCCCTATACCACTGAAGGGGTGTCATGGTAAGCGGCTCCCAGTCTCTGCATTGGGATGGACCTGCTCCTTTCATCTTTGCTAATATCACTTCAGTGACATGTTATTAGCAGTTTATCAGAAGCTATTTAGATTATCTTTGCACTTAACGTTGTATTGTTAATTCTCTGTGAGCTGACTGATTTGAAGTGACCGACAGTCTAAAGTGGACGGTGCTCGCTGAGCCTGAAGGCCAAGAACATGAAGCAGAGGCACACGGAGACTATCGGAGCTCCTGTTTGTGACTTCATGATACCGACACACACCCAACACCTTCCGAGAGCGAGAGAAAACAAGGAAAGGCAGCAAGGGAAAACAATACGTTTATTAAGAAGCATGAAAATGCAAAAACTCATTTATAATTTACCCAGTGAAAAAATAGCTAAAATCCAGGAGTCAACTGGATTTTATATTTGAAATGATTACATATTTGATCTCCAATAATTCCCCCCTCCGTCATGATCTCTTAGTAGCAGCAATTTTACAATGGCCATAGAAAAGCTGTTACCAATGATTATTATCATGAAAGGAAAATTTTTTCAAGAATTTTCTGTAAAAATAAACCAGTGCAAACAAATTCAGATTCTAAGGGATACAGTAAGACCTGGGCTTATCTTCAAAAAAGTAGAAAATAAAAATCCCAAACATATATTCATTAAGAAATGAAAAGGCAAACTACATTTTGATCATTGAAAAATAATACATATGGATATTATAACACATTCTTAACCAGTGATTATAATAATTACATTTATAAATGTTAATTCAAGTACTAGTGTCAATAAACATTCAAATTCCCATTAAAAGTAACACTAGATATAGTCACGTATGGACAATACTTTTGATTTACTACTACAACAAAAATCATGTCAACAGGAAGCAAGTGACCCTTAAAATACTGTATCTTTTTGTCTATAAATGAATTTTCACATCTGCATATTTTATCTGTGAGGGCCTCAGGAACATTTTACAACAGCTAATTAAGAAGTCCTTTTTTTTTTTTTTTTTTTATAAAATAACTCTCAATATTATAGAAACAAACATTCCCAAACACAAGTTTAACTTTAAAAATAAAAATAAAAACAGGGCAGAATCAGTTTTCTTTGGCAAGAAGTTGTTAATTCCTTACCATATGTTGGTGTGTGCTATAGTGAAAACACTATCAGAACACTTCTTTGGTATTGACCAAAGAGCCATTTAATCAGCTGAAAAGGTTTCATGAACTATGGTACCATGATAGTAATGTAGAGCTATGTGAAAGTTGCACTGAAATCAACACCATTTTCTTGATTACTGTTGTTAATGGATCTTCCTTCAAAAAGCTCCCTTCTAATTTTGGCCTGAGTCTCAGGCTGGTATAAAAGTTCTTTTATCTCTTTCACTTTGGACTTCAGAACCATCCTTTCTTGCTGCAAAGCTTCATTAATTAAGTCTTGGATTCCAATAGGTCTCTTGCCTACAGAAAGAAAATTTATAATACATTTTACATACAAATGCAAATGAAAAACATTAAATATGGCACACTGACTTATCAAAAGAGGGCTAAAAAGAATCCTTTAAAATGTTGCCCACATTTTATAGAAAAAGTTGCATTTTGCCAAAAAATATATTATTTACCTGAAACAAATGTAGTGTAAATAAAGATCACTGCATAGCAACAGCATATGTACGACAAACATAAAACATTATGGACTAACTATATGGGTAATTTCAACAGTGATTATTTTAAACTTAGCACTCGTTAGCTGTGTGTGTGTTTTGGCCTCAGATAAAGTAGTCAAATGCCCTGCTAAGCAATATAAATGGCAGTATTCCAATTATGGTAAGGCCCCTTCCACGGCCTTTGAGTCCATGAGGCATAACCCAAAGTCCCCTCTCCCTTGGCCATGGCTGAGGGCAAGTGAAACTTGGGCCATTCTTCTTTCATAAATTAATGTCCTCTGCGAGTCCCAGCTTTCGGTTTTTCTTCTGTTGTGTTTCAGAAATGCACACACACTGATCATGAAAGTATTAGGCAACCTCCACAGATTGGACAAGAGACACTTAAACAGCACATTGCAAATCAGTCCATTGACTCAGCAGAGGGAAGCAGGGATGCTTCTCACAGAGCAACGGGGCCTGCCTGCATTGGGTCTCATTTCCTGTTGTCATTGTCAGTGCCATTCCTATCAGCCTCTTCAGTTTTCACAGAGCTCCCATCCCCTGGCTTGTTTTTGTTCTGTGTTTCTTCCAGATACTGCTGGACAGCCTTGAGCACTGCGTTCTCCACCAGCCTCTTACTGAGCTTTACCAGTTCAGCATCATCAGGCTCACTTCCATTCTTATCACCTACATTCCACAATAGAGAAGAGAGATCACTGAGATCACATTGCCATAGAAACTCAGCATGCAGGGGCCAGCTAGTTCAGTTAGTTAAAAAGAGCAAGTGTCCTTCAATCTGCTAAACTAAATCTATAAATCCAAGAATATTGGCTTGGCTTTTCATTTGGTGTTTGCAGAAGCAGAAGATTGCCTTCAGGTTGAAAAGTAGTTCATAAGCCCCAATCTAAATATTACTCTACTATAATGCTAGAATTTTCCCATTTTTGCATGGAATTTTTGTTTTTCTCTTATCCAAGGCCAGTTCATGTGCTCACCTGGAGCCTCAGATATGAATTCATCAACTAGATCTGTGTCTGCTACCAAATGCCAGGCAATCAAGATTTGCCTATCGACTAACTACTTAAGAGCACTAATTTTAAAATGTTTGTCCTATAGGTTGGTTGTTAATAAACTCTTAGCACTCCCATGAAGACAAAGGCAGTTACTACTGCTAGAAGCTGGTATAAAATAAGCTTGTAAAAATAATATTCTTTTTAATTTCAGTGCTGTCACTGGAATTTAAAAACTGGAAAACTCTTCAAGGAAGAATTAGGCTTATGACAGTAAACTACAAGATGTTAATATTTTACGGCCATTTTGCTTTGCTGCTAGTGGTGATCGAGGTTTAATTATTCTTTCATTTTATTGTAAAAGGGCTGGTTCTCATCTATTCTCATGCTACATATTTCCCAGTCTCTGCCTGTCTCTCTTAACTGGGAAAAGCACAAAGGAGTTCAATCACTCATGTCCATTCAGTCCCTCATCTCCTTCCAATGAGCTGTGAACTCAGGAAGGTAGATGATTGGAAGCAAAGATATTTGAGCACATAAATATATTAAGCGAATACTAACAGATCTCAAGGGAGTATAGAAAGCAATACAATAATAGTAGGGGACTTTAATACTCCACTTTCAACAACGGATAGATCAACCAAACAGAAAACCAATAAGGAAACATTGGACTTGAACTATACTTTAGACCAAATGGATCTAGCACACATACACAGAACATTCCATCCAATGGCACCAGAATACACATTCTTTTCAAGTGCATATGGAATATTCTCCAGGAAAGATCATATGTTAGGTCACAAAACAAGTCTCAGCAAATTTAAAATATTGAAATCCATCCCAAGTATCTATTCTGACCACAATGGTATGAAACTAGACATCAGTAAGATGAAAACTGGAAAATTAACAAACATGTAAAAATTAAACAACACACTCCTAAACAACTAATGAGTCAAAAATGAAACCAAAAGGGAAATAAAAAATATCTTGAAACAAACAAAAATGGAAACACAACATACTAAAACTTATGGAATACAGCAAAAGCAGTGCTAAAAGGGTAGTTAAAGCAATAAATACCTACATTAAGAAAAAAGAGGAATACAGTCAATAATATTATAATAACTTTGCATTACAGATAGTTACTAGACTTACTGTGATGATCACATCATAAGGTATATAAATGTCAAATCACTATGTTGTACAAATGAAACTAATATAATATATATTAACTATACTTGAATAAAAAAAAAAATTAAAGAAAAAGATCTCAAGTTAACAACCTAACTTTATATCTCAATGAACCAGAAAAACAAGAGCCAAGCCCAAAGTTAGCAGAAGGAAAAAGGTAACAAAGAGAGCAAAGATCAGAGCAGAAACAAATGAAACAGAGAGAAAAGAGACAAACCTTTAGCTAGACTTACCAAGAAAAAAAGAGCAAAGACTAAAATAATAAAATTATAAATGAAAGAGGAGACATTACAACTGATATCATGGAAATACAAAGGATCATAAGAGACTACTATGAGCAATTATATGCCAATAAATTAGACAACCTAGAAGAAATGGATAAATTCCTAGAACATACAACCTTCTAAATCTGAATCATGAAGAAATAAAAAATCTGAACAGACCAATAACAAGTAAGATTGAATTAGTAATCAAAAACCTTCCAACAAAGAAAAGCCAAGGACAAGGTGGCTTCATAGGTGAATTTTACCAAACATCTAAAGAATTCTTTTCAAACTCTGCCAAATTCTTTTCAAACTCTGCCAAAAAACTGAAAAGAAGAGAACACTCCCAAATTCATTTTATGAAGTCAACATTATCTTGATACCAAAGCCAGATAGAGATACTACAAGAAAGCTCCAGACCAATGCCCTCCTGAATTTAGATGTAAAAATTTTCAACAAAATATTAGCAAAACAAATTCAACAGCACATTAAAAGGGTCATACACCAAGATCAGATCAAAACTATCCCTGGTATGTGAGGATGGTTTACATGTACAGATCAATCAATGTGATACACCACATGAACTCTAGTAAGATAACAGGATTATATTTGAGTCTAATCCTACTCAGTCTCCAAAATGCTTCTCCAGTCAAATAATCAGTGCTTCTGTGATTTCTCTTGGTCCACAATGTGGCGTCCCTGTTACTTCAAACATTAAAAAATTGAAAATACAAAAATCTTCCCACAAAAAGTTAATATTCCCTCCGACTTTCCTATTTCAGTTTATGCTTTTACTTATAATCCAAGTCAACCAAGCTCAAAACAAGACTGTAACCATCTTTGACACCTTCCTTTCCCTCATCAACCCACTTAATCATCAAGTCTTATCTGTGTGCCCTTCATAATTTCTCCTTTCTTCAATGCATCTGGTATAACCCCTAAAAATAAATAGTTCTAAAACATCCCTTTTAAGTCTTCATTGTCTCCACAGGAAAATTTAAACTTGTCTTCCAAGGCTTTCCAAAATTTACCTCTGGTTATCACCCACCACTGCCACACTTCCACTGTCAGCTTCCAACATCTCCTCAGGAGCCTCCACACCATTCCTTATTTCAAGATGGCCCTCCCTCTCTCTCACCAATTAAAATCCCACCTAGCCCAGGAAACTTTCCCTGACTAACCAGCTAAAAGTGATGAGCTTCCCCTTGATTCCAATAGTCTGACTGCATGTATAGTACATGCTCATTTGGTCATTCACTCAGGTATGCACTGAGGACCTACTATCTAGGTGGTTATTCTAGCCTATAGGGATACTGCAGAGGGAGAAAAAAAAGTCCCACTAGTTTTCCTTTCTTAATTTCTTTACAAATTATAAGCATTATTTATTAATGCATTTATTCAACAACTACTAATTCAGTATCTGCTCTTACAAAGACACATATCCAAGGCTTCTCAATTATCTCCCACTCTGCTACTGCATGGCAGTTTACTGAACACAGTAAGGGCTCAACAAATATTAGTCAAGTGAATTGTTGATTAAAGTCACTTTTTTTTAAAATATATCTTTATTGATTTCAGAGAGAGGAAAGGAGAGAGAGAAAGAAACATCAATGATGAGAGAGTCATTGATCGACCGCCTCCTGCATGCCCCCTACTGGGGATTGAGCCTGCAACCTGGGCATGTGCCCTGATGGGACTGGAACCGTGATCCCCTGGATCACAGGTCAGTGTTCAACTGCTGAGCCACATTGGCTGGGCAAGGACAACATTTTTTAAATGTCCTTATCTTCCTATAAGGATAGCACACCATGGCCAGAAATTTAGATTTAATATTAAATCAAGAGCAAAGGATTCTAGAATAATACAAATATCCATGTGAAAAATCTCCATCTACTTTGCCTAATAAATCCAGTCAGTATGCCAAAATATCCGGCCTGTGGGATAAAAATTAACCATCTACGGTAACAAACTAATTAACTAATCAACAAAATAATAAAGAAATTTATATATGAATCTTCCAGATCTGTACTAATTTCTCACCTCGCCTTATGATTTCCACAAAACGTCCTCAGATTATCAATGCTAGAGAGCCTAGGGAAGAGCCTATGAGAAGGCTCACCACAGAGCCCTGCAAGAAGATAGCAATTCAAGAAATGTGCGTCTTCATTCCAGTGTGTTCCCACTTTTAGCAAACTTAATTCAATTTAATTAAAAGGAGGCATCTTAAACACCTTGCTGACCGGTCACGAGATAACTTGTGTCTGCACTTACATTTATTTAAGTAATTTTAAACACCTTGCTGACCAAAGTAGCTAGTCGCTTGGGCCAGTCCTGGCTCGAAATAACTGGCCAGTAAGGTGTTTAAGTTAAAGTTGTACTGTTTTTTTCTCCTGCTCACTATTTGAATAATGGTATCTGTCTCCCACAGTGACCTCTCAGATAAATGACTACATTCATTTTTCCTGAAGTCTAGTTAACAAGGGGAGTTCAATATGCCATTGCAAGGTACACAAACTACCTTTTAATATTCCAACAAAAGTACACATGAAAATATTCCCAAGGTATGCAGCAAACTCTTGATAAAAAACATTCTTTTGGGGGGCATGGGACCAGGAGGCCATCTTGCAACTCAGAGTACTCTTCCTTGGAGGGAAGTCGAACTCGATTACTAGGACGTTTCAGATGCTAGAGCGAAAGAATTATCTCCATGTATTTACTTAGCCTGTTGGGATTGGGCTTCTCATAACTTGCAACCCAGAGAGTCATGGGTAAGTGACAGGGTGATGACCCTCAACCTTTGACCTGCAGGCCCACATAGGCCCTTGTCTATAAGGTAAGTAAATGTACACCTGGGGGTGCCAGGTGGAGTCATTGGCTCCATTCCCTGGAATCTCAGCTTCCCCCAGCAACACTCCTCAAGGCAAGGCAAAAAAACACACACACACAAAAAGCATGATAGCTATACCAACATTAAAAAAGAACAAAGCTGGAAGACTGGCACAAGCTGAATTCAAGATTAATTATAATGCTATTGCAATTAAGACAGTGTGATACTGGCCAAAGAATAGGAAAATAGAAGGCCCAAAAATAGGCCTACACAAATATAGTCAACCTATATTTGGAAAAGAAGTAAAATCAATTCAATGGAGTAAAGACAGTCTCTTCAACAAATGGTGTTGGAACAAATGGACATCCTCATGCAAAAAAAATACAATGTCTTTCGTCC